AATCCAATTCATAAGGTGTTGGAATCTTAATTCCTTAATCCCTCCACTCCTGTCTTCCACTCCTAAAAGCTAACACAATTTCTGGAACAAAGTAGGGGACATCATCAAAGAGTGGTTGGGTCTCTTTACTTGTTTAATATTATAAGCTTACTCCAGCTTTTATATATATATATATATATATATATATATATAATATATATATATATATATATATATATCGACTTATGAATATGCAGAGCAACACAAAACACATTGTAAACCAATTGGTTTTTGAGTGATATTTCCAATTATAAATCAAAGAGATATTTTGATATATTTATCTGTGTTTTTTACAATCTCTATACTAGATTGGTATCAGAGCTTTCGAAATCAGTCAAGGGGAGCTGTGAAAGCTTTGAATTACCTGGTGATCAAGAAGGACACCAGTAAAGATGTCAGACAAAGAAGGAGATGGTGGTGATGCTGGTCCGGCTCCGGTGAAACTCAAAGAGATAGGATCAACAACAGTGGCTTGCCCGATGTTGAATTCCACAAATTACACCGTATGGTCCCTGCGTATGAAAGTTGTACTTCGAATTCATAAAGCCTGGACCATAATCGATCCAGGAGAAGAGAAGAATGATGAAAAGAATTACCTTGCCATGGGATTGCTGTATCAAGCAATCCCTGAGAGCTTGATAATGCAGATAGGGGACGTCGATGAAGCGAAGGTCCTCTAGGAGTCGATTAGGGCTCGACATGTTGGAGCCGATAGAGTAAAAGAGGCTCGACTTCAAACTCTCACCGCCGATCTAGACCGACTGAAGATGCAGGAGACAGAGACGATAGACGCTTTCGCCGGAAAGCTCGCTGGAATCGCCTCGAAGTCAGCGTCACTGGGAGAACCCATCGGAGAAACAAAACTCGTGAAGAAACTCTTGACGGTGGTACCTCATCGGTTCATTCAAATCGTTGCCTCCCTCTAGCAAGTGCTTGACTTGAAGACAGTATCCTTCGATGACGTCGTAGGGCGTCTGAAAGCGTATGAAGAAAGAATCAAAGCAGATGAAGGCGGAGACGGGCAACAAAGGGTGTTGATGGCTAGAACGAGTGGTGGTGGTGGATGGAGAAATGATGGCGGTGGAGGTTCTGGATCGTCGGGGAAGACGAATTGGGGAAAACGGGGGAAGGGTTCTAATGGCACTGAGTCGGGAGGCTTTAATCAAAATGGGTCAAGCGGGTCGGGTGGTGGATCCGGGTCAGTAGGATCCAGTGGGTCAGGCCCAAAAGGAAATAGACCCAATTCGGCCCAAAACAATAATAAGCCTAATAACCGGCCCAATTCTAATTCGGACTCAAACCGAAACCCGAAAAAAGATCTGTCGAAGATTATATGCTACAGATGTGATAAGTCGGGCCATTACGCATCCAAATGTCCGGACAGAATCCAAAAATTCCAAGAAAGTAATTTTACTGAACACGACGATGCCGGTGAAACAGTATTTTTACACGAGACCGTGTTTTTGAACGAAGAGAAAGTGATACCGTCTCGATACAACTCACAAGAAAACGATGTGTGGTATTTGGACAACGGGGCGAGTAATCACATGATGGGAAATCATTCAGTTTTCTCCGAACTCGACGAAGGAATAACCGGAAAGGTCAAATTCGGTGATAATTCGTGTGTCGAAATAAAAGGGAAAGGCTCAATTGTTTTCCAAGGAAAATCGGGACAACAACGATTGATAACGGAGATTTATTTCATTCCGGATTTGAAAAATAATATTTTCAGTCTCGGACAAGCAACCGAAGTCGGGTGCGATATTCGGATGAAAGACAACTATTTGACAATGCATGATGCCGACAGCTGCTTGTTAATGAAGGTACAAAGAACTCCAAACCGCCTTTATAAAATACAGTTGCCCATTGGAGTACCTATTTGCCTTCATACAAGACTGAGTGAAGACACGTGGCACTGGCATGCAAGACTTGGACACATCAATTTCGAGTCAATGAAAAAGATGTCCAAGAAAGGTCTAGTCAAAGGGTTACCCCCATTTTGACAGTCAAAATCAATTGTGTGAATCTTGTTTGGTGGGCAAGCAAACAAGAAAGTCATTTCCATTAATGACGACGTACAAAGCAACACGGCCATTGGAGCTAGTTCACGGTGATTTATGTGGTCCGATAACACCGTCAACGAAGGGTCAAAATCGGTACATTTTCACACTAATTGACGATTTTTCGCGGTATATGTGGATTTTTCTCTTAAAAGAGAAAAATGAGGCGTTTTTACACTTCAAAAAATTTAAAGCTTTGGCGGAGAATGAGCTCGGAAAGTCTTTAAAGGTGTTTCGAAGTGATCGAGGAGGTGAGTTTACTTCGCTCGAGTTTAATTCCTTTTGTGATATGAATGGAATCAAACGCCATCTTACCGCCCCATATTCACCACAACAAAACGGTATTGTGGAACGAAGAAACAGAACACTTATGGACATGACACGAAGTATCATGAAGGCGATGCATGTTCCAAACTACCTATGGGGAGAAGCGGTAAAACATTCCACAAACCTGATCAACCGTGTTTACACAAGAGTACTTGGTGATACAACTCCGTACGAGAAGTTGTATAAAAGAAAACCCAATTTGGAGAACGTACGCATCTTTGGGTGTTTAGCGTATGCAAAAGTTGAACCGGTAAACGTGAAAAAATTGGATGCAAGATCAAGACCATTGGTTCATCTTGGTTCTGAACCGGGTACAAAAGCCTATCGGTTATTTAACCCGGGTACACAAAAAATAATCGTAAGTCGAGACGTTATTTTTAATGAAACCAAAGGATGGAATTGGGTTAACGAAGCTACATCTGACAATGAAGAACCAGGATCATTCATAGTACCATGGGATTTACCGGAAGATGAGGCAAACAACAACCAAGGAAACGATGTAAACAACGAACCAAACGAATCGGATCACGAGATTGAAGACGGAGTGGAGGTACAAGAAAATGAGCAACCAAGTCCGATCAACAACAACGTGAACAATGTTCAAAACCAAAGGCCCACAAGACAAAGGTGCTTCCAATTCGATTACGAGATTATGTACTTTATGTTGATGAAATTGAAGAACTTCTCCTAGCAACCAATGACGAGCCGGTATCGGTTGAAGAGGCGAAGAAAGAACCAGAGTGGGTCAAAGCCATGAATACAGAAATCAATTCGATCAACAAGAACAATACTTGGTCTCTCGTAAACAAACCTATGGGGGTGAAGCCCATTGGACTCAAAGGGTACGTACAACAACCTGGTATTGACTTTCAAGAAGTATTTGCTCCGGTAGCTCGCATCGAAACCATACGGTTTCTCATTGCCTTAGCCGCTACCAATGGATGGGAGCTTCACCACTTGGATGTCAAGATGGCTTTCTTACATGGAGAGTTGAGAGAAACCGTCTATGTGTATCAACCGGAAGGCTACATAAGGAAAGGCGACGAGCACAAGGTGTACCGTCTTTCAAAAGCACTATATGGTCTTAGACAAGCACCGAGAGCATGGAATACGAAACTTGATGGGATTTTGAAAGGAATGAAATTTCACAAGTGCATGAAAGAACCATCGGTGTACCGGAAGAACGAAGGATCCAACTTGCTAATTTTAGCAATCTATGTTGATGATTTGTTTGTCACAGGTACAAATTTGAGCATGATCAAAAGGTTCAAATTTGAAATGTCCAAGAACTTCGAGATGTCTGATCTTGGAAGATTAACTTACTACCTGGGCATTGAAGTCAAACAGGATGAATCGGAGATTACAATAAACCAAGAAGCGTATGCACAACGCATTCTGAAGGAAGCCGGTTTACATGATTGCAATCCTACCCACATTCCCATGGATCCAGGAACCAAAATGTCGAAGGCCGAAGATGAACCCGAAATCGACCCGACACAATACCGAAAGTTGGTAGGATGCCTTAGATATCTCTTGCAGACAAGACCCGATATGGCATATGCGGTTGGAGTTGTTAGTCGATACATGCAATATCCAAGAGAATCACATGGTGTTGCAATCAAACACATCCTAAGGTATTTACGAGGAACAACGGGATACGGAATCAAGTACGAGAGGATGGGAAAAGCGAATAATTGGTTACAGTGATAGTAGTCATAATGTTGATCCAGATGACGGAAGAAGCACAACTGGTCATATTTTCTACTATGGGTTGTCTCCAATAACATGGTGTTCGCAAAAGCAAGATACTGTTGCTTTATCATCTTGTGAGGCAGAGTTCATGGCAGCCACTGCGGCTGCATGTCAAGCAATATGGCTTCAAGATTTGCTGGGAGAAATCTTGAACAAAACGCAAGAGAAGGTGGTTCTTAGAGTTGATAACAAGTCGGCTATCGAACTAACAAAGAATCCCGTTTTTCACGGAAGAAGTAAACACATTCACACTAGGTTTCACTTCATTCGTAAGTGTGTTGAAAAGGAACAAGTGGAGGTGAAGTACATTCCAGGTGAAGAACAAAAGGCAGACATTCTCACAAAACCATTGGCTCGAACCAAGTTCAAGACAATGCGGGACTTGATCGGGATTGAAGACATCTCTAGAAGGACTTAGAGATTCGGGGGTGATTGTTGGAATCTTAATTCCTTAATCCCTCCACTCCTGTCTTCCACTCCTAAAAGCTAACACAATTTCTGGAACAAAGTAGGGGACATCATCAAAGAGTGGTTGGGTCTCTTTACTTGTTTAATATTATAAGCTTACTCCAGCTTATATATATATATATATATATATATATATATATATATATATATATATATATATATATAGCATATATCGAGTTATGAATATGCAGAGCAACACAAAACACATTGTAAACCAATTGGTTTTTGAGTGATATTTCCAATTATAAATCAAAGAGATATTTTGATATATTTATCTGTGTTTTTTACAATCTCTATACTAGATAAGGTACTTCCAAAATGAAGTAGTAACTATTTGATTTCCAAAATAATGACATGAATTCGAACAGGAGCAAGACAGTGAAGCAATTGCCTCTATCAGAGGCGTTGATAGTACTTGAAACCACAAGTATTTATGAAGCCTGCTGTCAGATGGCTGCTCAAAGAGCTGATGTTCTTGTACTTACTAACTCAGATGCGTTTCTCACTGGGGTATTGACGAACAAGGTTTGTCATGAATTTATAATCCCCCACACATTTACCGATTAATTTACAGAAAGTTAATTACCTTTCTGGCTTTTAAAGGATATTGCTACAAGGGTTAGTGCTCATGAAGATTGATTTGGTCAACACACCTGTGTCAAAGGTGATGACAGAGAACCCAATTTTCGTTTTGTCTGATACTCTTGTAGTGGAAGCCCTGAATTACATGGTGAAAGGTTGGTAACAGTATTTAGGATGAATTGTATGTCGATTGTTGGTGTTAATTTGCTGAACCTTCTAATTAATCCTGTGAATTAATTTATGCATATGCAGAACAATTTAGACAGTTACCTGTGGTAGAGAATGGCAAGGTTATTGGTTTACTTCACCTGCTTTTATGTTTATTTGATGAAACCGCAAATACTGAAACAATAGCTGAAAATTACGACAAGGTTGTAGAAGCTGCAGTGCAAAGAGTCACACAGAGGTAGCATTTACCTTTTTTTTTGAAGTAAAACATCATTTTTTCAAAAGAAAGTATTATTACACTTTATAAGGATGAGTATTTTTGGATAAACAAGAAATCTATGAATGAAAAAAACACGTACTATTATTATTATTATTATTATTATTATTATATTATTATTATTATTATTATTATTATTAATTACTTTGTCTAAAATGGCTCATTTTTGCTAAAGATATTTTCTCGTTCTTGAAAAATTAACTCAATTAACCGTGTTTTAAAATAATATATTTTACATGCTGTGCTTCGGAACAGGGCTTTAACCGTGGTGGAATTGCCTCCAGACAATGCGATGATTATACCTGAAACCGAAACTATATAAGACGCCTGCTGTGAGATGCTTGCTCATGGAAATGATGCTGTGGTACTCACTGGCTCAAATGTGATATTCAGTGGTATATTGACAAAAAAGGTTTGTCTTTAATCTCAACATGAATTTAAAACCAATCCATCGTTGATTGCTCCATCAGTTTCCCTAACTACGTATTTTCGTATTTGAAGGATATTGTATCAAGAATCATTCCTTATGGTATCGATATTGTAAACACACCTGTGTCAAAGGTGATGAGCAAGAAGCCAATTTTTGTGTCCTATGATACTCTTCCCGAGAATGTCCTGCCAAAGATTGTACTGCAAGGTTTGTATCCAGTTGGAAAAATTCCATGTTCATTTTTGTTTCAGTTGGTTATTAGTTCTTTCTTATTAGTTTCCTTTACAATTTTTTGTGTTTGAGTCGAATTCGTTTTGACTTGGTATAAATAGGTTATTAACGTTGCCGTTGTTGTACTTTCTAATCATGTGATTTAAACTATGAATGCAGGACAAGGTACACATTTGCTTGTTCGAGAGAATGGTGAATATGATGGTTTTATTTACCATTCAGTGAGTATACAGGGTGGTGTTCTCCCCAATACAAGAACGACTACTAAAAAACATAAGCTTCTAGATGCTCCACAACATACATCTGTAGATCCCCCACAGCAATCAAGTAAACCACTTCCAGGTGTGAATGGAAATGTCGATTGCTTTGAAACAGATGGTCCTGGTCTTACACCTTTTGTGCACGTGTCCAATTCACCATATCCCGACGTTGATCCTTATTATAAATTAGTCGTCCCTACAGTTGTGCCACGTCACCCGAAGCAATCAAGTGAACCACTTTCAAGTGTTAATGGCAATGGCGAGTGGGATGAAACTCATGCTCCACAACTATTTATGAAGCTTGTTGTCAGATGGCTGCTCATAGTGCTGATGTTCTTGTAGTCACCGACTCAAATGGGTTACCAACTGGGATACTAACATACAAGGTTTGTCTTAAATTTTATGTCAAGCCATCATTTACCTATTAATGTATCAGACATTGGTGTGACACAGTTTTCTAAGTGGTTATATATGTTGGAGCCTCCCATCTCTTCAAACGTGTTTTTTTTGAGAAATAATATTGGACTCCACGTGTATATATAAATATATGTGGAGCCTAATATTGTCTCTCCAAAAAAGCTCTTATATAGAGATAAAAGACTCCAACATATATAGTCACTTATAAGACCGTGTCGTACTGATGTGAGATACACTAACACCCCCACTCAAAGTCGGAGGCTCGATAAGATATATAGGGTTGTGCTAAGCTACGGGGGTGCAAGACCCTCGCTCTGATACCATGTAAATAATGTGGAGCCCGCTATTATTTCTCAAAAAGAGCCCTTATGGAGAGAGGGGACGCTGCAACATATATAGCCATTTATAAGACTTTATCCTACCAATGTAGGATAAAATAACATTACCATGTTGAAGAAGGTTGATTAACCATTTTGTTGTTTGAAGGATATTGTAAAAACAGTGATTGCTTCTGAGATTGATTTGGTGAACACACCTATCTCAAAGGTGATGTCAGAGAACCCATCTTGTGTGATGTCTGATACACTCTTTGTGCATGCACTTAAAAAGATGGAAGATAAAAGATTTACACAGTTACCTGTTACTCAGAAGAATGGCAAGGTAATTGGTTTATTTTATAATATGGGGATGTCATATCTTACTAAATACGAGAAAGTTATAGAAGCTGCAGCACGAGGATTTGCTCCGAGGTAGTATTTACCTTTTTTATATTTGTTGCCACCAAACCAACATTCTTGCAAATAAAGTATAACACCTTATAAGAATGATAAATTTTTGATAAACACAAGAAATTAAAATGCACAAATGTGCCTTTCTTACCTGTTTTAGAATGGACCCTTTTTTAAACAATAATTTCTTTGACTTTTTCAGAAGAGCAATGTTATTTCTCTAGAGAAGAGCGCTCCTAAATTTGAACATCCGAAACTCAATTAACTATAATTCCAAAATAATGATGTTTAACTATTGACGTGCATTTAAACAGGGGTCTGACATGTTGAGTGGTGAAGCCACATGTTTAGTGGCAGACAAAAGTAAAGGCAGAAAACATGCAAGAAATCATGGCATCATGTTTCACGGATCATGATTAGCAGCTACTTTTGACAACTTGCAATTTCAATCTCTATATATAGTAATCATATGTATTTGTAAACGGTGTACCAAGATCAATAGAATATATTCCTAGTTACCAAGAGTGGACGTAGGTCAGAAATTCGACCGAACCACTATAAATCATTGTGTTCTTGTTTTTCTATAATTTGTGAGCTGAGAGAGAGAGTTTCGTGTTAGTGTCTCGATCCTAACAAGTAGTATCAGAGCGTTGGTTTAGCTCCAGAAGGTGCTTTCAGTTTTTTGGTCGAAATTTGTTTTCGTCAAAAACGATTTTGGTGTATACCGTTGGAAAGGTCTCGTTCCGAAGATTCCGAAAATATTTTTTTCTGAATTTTTCGACCACCGGAAGACGTCCAAATCGCCAGTCAAAGGTTCGCCGGAATAGTGACCGAAAACCAGTTCGCCGGAGAAGACGACACTGTAGCGCCGGAGCCTTGCCGGAGAAGACGACACTGTACGCCGGAGCATTGCCGGAGAAGACGACACTGTACGCCGGAGACCTGCCGGAGAAGACGACACTGTAGCGACACTATAGCGTCACTGTAGCAGAATTTGAAAAACTCAGATTTGGTCCCTGAAGTTTCAGAAAATTGCAAATACAGGTCCTGAAGTTCCAGAAAATTGCAAGACAGGTCCTTGAAGTTTCAGAAAATTGCAAGACAGGTCCCTGTTCTTTCAGAAAATTGCTAAAATGGCAGAAGATGGTAAATCAAAATTGACAAGTTTGATGGAACCGATTATGGATTTTGGAAGATGCAAATTGAAGATATGTTGTATCAGAAAAGTTTGCATTTGCCTATGTTGGGCAAACAACCGGATGACATGTATGATGAAGAATGGAAGTTGTTGGATCGACAAGCCTTGGGTGTAGTTAGGCTTTCATTGGCAAAGAGTGTTGCGTATAACATTGTTAATGAAACAACTACTTATGGAGTATTTAAGGCTTTGTCCAACATGTACGAGAAGTCGTCCGCTTCCAACAAAGTGTTCCTCGTCAAACAATTGGTTAACACCAAAATGAAGGAAGGCATGTCAGTTACCGCTCACATAAACGAGTTTAACTCGATTATCTCTCGTTTAGCCTCAGTTGCAATAAAGTTTGAAGATGAAGTACAAGCGCTCCTCCTTTTATCATCTTTGCCCGATAGTTGGTCAGGCACCGTCACAGCTGTTAGTAGTGCATTCGGCACTATTAAACTCACTTTTGAGAGTATTCGTGACTTGATTGTAAATGAAGATATCAGACGGAGAAGCAATGGTGAGACTTCTAGTTCTAGTTCTAGTTCTTTATTGCATACAGAAAGTAGAGGAAGAAGAAACGAAAGAGGACGTAGTCGAGGCAGATCAAAGTCTAGAAAAAGGGGGCAGTCCAAGAACCGAAAAGATATTGAATGTTGGAATTGCAAAGAAAAAGGTCACTTTAGAAACCAATGTCCAAAACCACAAGCTGAAAAGAAAGAAGTACACAATGTATCCTCTGAAGAATCGGGAGATTTTCTCATATGTTGTGTTGAGAATTCAATGGAATCCTGGATTATGGATTCGGGTGCTTCTTTCCATGCTGTCTCATGCCCAGATATGGTCAAGAACCTACAAACAGGTGACTTTGGCAAAGTTAGTTTGGCCGATGATCAAGTGCTTGATATTACGGGTATAGGAGACGTAGATTTGAAGACCTCCATGGGAACCACCTGGACATTGAAAGATGTCAGGGTTATCCCAAACTTAAGGAGAAAGTTGATTTCAGTTGGTAAGTTGGATGATGAAGGACTTGATGTTCACTTTGGGGGTGGACAATGGAAAGTGATCAAAGGCAACTTGGTGATTGCCAAAGGAAAGAAGAAAGGCACTCTATACATGGTAGAGATACCTGGTGATGGTGTTCATGCCGTAACCACCAATCCGAGTCCATCTAATTTATGCCACCAACGACTCGGACACATGAGCGATAAGGGATTGAAGATGTTGGCTCAGAAAGGAAAGTTTCCAGACTTGAAGAAAGTCGAAACTGAATTTTGTGAATCTTGTGTTCTCGGGAAACAAAAGCGGGTTACTTTTGTAAAAATGGGGAAGACACCGAAAGCTCAGAAGTTGGAGCTTGTTCACTCGGATGTATTTGGACCAACACCAGTTTCATCTGTAGGAGGCAAAAACTACTATGTAACCTTTATCGATGATTCAACACGCAAGGTATGGGTCTATTTTCTTAAAAATAAATCTGATGTATTTGATACTTTTAAGATATGGAAATCTGCTGTTGAAAATGAAACTGATTTGAAGGTAAAATGCCTGAAGTCGGATAATGGTGGTGAATACATAAGCAAGGAGTTTGTTGACTATTGTGCCAAGCAAGGGATAAAGATGATCAAGACGGTCCCAGGAACCCCTCAGCAGAATGGTGTAGCTGAAAGAATGAATAAAACTCTGAATGAAAGGGCTAGAAGCATGAGGTTGAAT